GTTCTCCTTCCCTTTAACTTTTTTCCTAATTTTCAATGGAGTTGAAGCTTCCTCGTCACCTGCTAACCTGCTGCTTTGCCTTACATTAATTGTTATTCTCCCTCTACGCTCACTTCTCCCTTCCCCCCTACTTAATAGTTTAAAGCCCTATTAACCGCCCTATTTACCCTTTTCGCCAGAACACTGGACCCAGCCCTGTTCGGGTGGAGTCCATCCCAGCGATATAGATCCCTCCTGTCCCAGAACTGACGCCAGTACCCCATGAAAAGGAAACCCTCTTTCCCACACCACTCTTTTAGCCACATGTTTATTTCCCTGATCCTCGCCTCCCCATGCCAATTTGCACGTGGCTCGGGCAGCAATCCAGAGATTATGACCCTTGAAGACCTGTTTTTTAATTTTGTTCCTAGCTTTTCATAATCCTGCAACGGGTCTTTTTTCCTAGTCCTGCCTATGTTGTTGGTACCTACGTGGACCACAACAACTGGATCCTCCCCCTCCCTTTCTAGTATCCTCTCAAGCCGTTCAGAGATGTCCGCACCCTGGCACCAGGCAGGCAACACACCATGCGGGTTTCTCTATCCTGCTCGCAAAGGATACTGTCTATCCCCCTGATGATGGAATCCCCTGCAACTACAATCTGTCTTTTTGCTCCCCCCTCTTGAATGGCCTCCTGGACCATGGTGCCATGGTCAGTTGACTCATCCTTCCTGTAGCCCTGTTCCTCATCCACGCAAGGAGCAAGTGCCTCATACCTGTGGGACAATGTCAAGGGCTGCGGCTCCTGTGTTCCTGTCTGCACGGTCCCTCTACCTGCCTCACTCGCAGTCACACACTGCTGTCCCTGCCCGCCGATCGAATTAACATTAGTTAATCTACCAGGTGTGACTGCCTCCTAGAACACAGCATCCAGGTATTTCTCCCCCTCCCGGATGTGCCGCAGTGTTTGGAGTTCGGATTCCAGCTCATCAATTTTGAGCGGGAGCTCCTCAAGCAGCCAACACTTGCTTCAGATGTGGTCACTGCCGTTCTCAATGGGATCAGCTAGCTCCCACATCATAAAGCTACTTAGTTGATTATTTGAAATTAATTAGTTTTTTTTAGTTTCTCAGTGTTCGCTGCACCAGTAAGTTTACTCCGTTATATACTCAAACAGACTCCGGCTTTGCCTTCCGACTCGCTCCCAGAAGATTTGGCGTCTAGGTGACCACCCCGAAAGATAACAAAGAAATGAGGAAAAAAAAATGCAAATAGCTTACCTGCTCACCACACTTAATCGTTATTATTAGGTTAGAGGAGGTGGAAGGGTGGGAGACACTACGCGTGTAGTGTCTCGGGTATTAGTTAACTCCCAAATTTATTGGATGGAAGCTTACCTTCCCAGGCTGCCCTTTCTCTTTCTCCCGGACTCCCGCCGCTGAAACAACTGAAAGGCCGCAGTTATGCGAGGTAAGACTTTTATAATCGAAAAGCTTACCTTCCCAGGCTGCCCTCGCGCTTTCTCCCGGACTCCCACCGCTGAAACAACTGAAAGTCGACACAGATTTCCTGCTCACCTCCAAACTCACCTCAGTTAAACCTGAAAGTTTGTATGTGTGGTCATGTTGGCTTTACAGGGCTTTGGACACCCACTGCATCCAAAATTGCCAACTTCGTGGTTAAAATTCTGCACATTGTGAAAGTTCATTGCAACCTCCACTCTTTTGTAATCATACCTTAGAAGATCTTTGTATTTCAATGCTGAATTTCATTTGCTTTTTGTCTACTCCTTATTGCCTATTAATCAATATATGTCATGCTGTAACTGTCACATTCTTAATTATAAGTTCCCATTTATACAATACTAACCGGTCAGTAATTTGTAGGACACAATTTTTTTTAACAATTTAAGTGCAGGAGTAGGCTGGACCTTTGGCAGCTGTTTCTTCAGACAGATCAAGAGTTTTAGAATATGTTATTGGCTAATGTGATGGGTAATGATACTGCATATATCCAAGGAAGAATTGGACCACTTCTGGTACAGATCAGATTGCATTTTATACAACTGAATAGGATAGGAGTGAAAGTAACAGGGTAGTTGTTATGGGGGACTTTAACTTTCCAAATATTGACTGGAAACGCTATAGTTTGAGTACTTCAGATGGGTCAGTTTTTGTCCAATGTGTGCAGGAGGGTTTCCTGACACAGTATGTAGATAGGCCAACAAGAGGCGAGGCCACATTGGATTTGGTACTGGGTAATGAACCAGGCCAGGTGTTAGATTTGGAGGTAGGAGAGCACTTCGGTGATAGTGACCACAGTTCGGTTACGTTTACTTTAGCGATGGAAAGGGATCGGTATATAAAGCAGGGCAAGAGTTATAGCTGGGGGAAAGGCAACTATGAGGTGATGAGGCAAGATTTAGGATGCATAGGATGGAGAAGGAAACTGCAGGGGCTGGGCACAATTGAAATGTGGAGCTTGTTCAAGGAACAGCTATTGCGTGTCCTTGAGAAGTATGTACCTGTCAGGCAGGGAGGAAGTGGTCGAGCGAGGGAACCGTGGTTTACTAAAGAAGTTGAATTTCTTGTCAAGAGGAAGAAGGAGGCTTATGTAGAGATGAGGCGTGAAGGCTCAGTGAGGGCGCTTGAGAGTTACAAGTTAGCCAGGAAGGACCTAAAGAGAGAGCTAAGAAGAGCCAGGAGGGGACATGAGAAGTCTTTAGCAGGTAGGATCAAGGAAAACCCTAAAGCTTTCTATAGGTATGTCAGGAATAAAAGAATGACTCGAGTAAGATTGGGGCCGGTCAAGGACAGTAGTGGGAAGTTGTGCGTGGAGTCCGAAGAGATAGGAGAGGTGCTAAATGAATATTTTTCGTCAGTATTCACGCAGGAAAAAGACAATGTAGTCGAGGAGAATACTGAGATACAGTCTATTAGACTAGACGGGATTGAGGTTCATAAGGAGGAGGTGTTAGCAATTCTGGAAGGTGTGAAAATAGATAAGTCCCCTGGGCCGGATGGGATTTATCCTAGGATTCTCTGGGAAGCTAGAGAGGAGATTGCAGAGCCTTTGGCTTTGATCTTTATGTCGTCATTGTCTACAGGAATAGTGCCAGAAGACTGGAGACTAGCAAATGTTGTCCCCTTGTTCAAGAAGGGGAGTAGAGACAACCTTGGTAATTATAGACCAGTGAGCCTTATTTCGGTTGTGGGTAAAGTGTTGGAAAGGATTATAAGAGATAGGATTTATAATCATCTAGAAAGGAGTAATTTGATTAGGGATAGTCAACACGGTTTTGTGAAGGGTAGGTCGTGCCTCACAAACCTTATTGAGTTCTTCGAGAAGGTGACCAAACAGGTGGATGAGGGTAAAGCGGTTGATGTGGTGTATTTGGATTTCAGTAAAGCGTTTGATAAGGTTCCCCATGGTAGGCTATTGCAGAAAATACGGAGGCATGGGATTGAGGGTGATTTAGCGGTTGGGATCAGAAATTGGCTAGCTGTAAGAAGACAGAGGGTGGTGGTTGATGGGAAATGTTCATCCTGGAGTTCAGTTACTAGTGGTGTACCTCAAGGATCTGTTTTGGGGCCACTGCTGTTTGTCATTTTTATAAATGACCTGGATGAGGGCGTAGAAGGATGGGTTAGTAAATTTGCGGATGACACCAAAGTCGGTGGAGTTGTGGATGGTGCAGAAGGATGTTGTAGGTTACAGAGGGACATAGATAAGCTGCAGAGCTGGGCTGAGAGGTGGCAAATGGAGTTTAATGCGGAAAAGTGTGAGGTGATTCACTTTGGAAGGAATAACAGGAATACAGAGTACTGGGCTAATGGTAAGATTCTCGGTAGTGTGGATGAGCAGAAAGATCTCGGTGTCCATGTGCATAGATCACTGAAAGTTGCCACCCAGTTTGATAGCGTTGTTAAGAAGGCGTACAGTATGTTAGGTGTTATTGGTAGAGGGATTGAGTTTCGGAGCCATGAGGTCATGTTGCAGCTGTACAAAACTCTGGTGCGGCCGCACTTGGAGTATTGCGTACAGTTCTGGTCACCGCATTATAGGAAGGATGTGGAAGCATTGGAAAGGGTGCAGAGGAGATTTACCAGGATGTTGCCTGGTATGGAGGGAAGGTCTTATGAGGAAAGGCTGAGGGTTTTGAGGCTGTTTTCATTAGAGAGAAGAAGGCTAAGAGGTGACTTGATAGAGACATACAAGATGATCAGAGGATTAGATAGGGTGGACAGTGGGAGCCTTTTTCCTCGGATGGTGATGGCTAGCACGAGGGGACATAGCTTTAAATTGAGGGGTGATAGATATAGGACAGATGTCAGAGGTAGGTTCTTTACTCAGAGAGTAGTAAGGGCGTGGAATGCCCTGCCTGCAAAAATAGTAGACTCGCCCACTTTAAGGGCATTTAAATGGTCATTGGATAAACATATGGATGATAATGGAATAGTTTAGGTTAGATGGGCTACAGATTGGTTTCACAGGTCGGCGCAACATCGAGGGCCGAAGGGCCTGTACTGCGCTGAAATGTTCTATGTTCTATGTTCTGTGAAGTGCCTTTATAAATTAACAGTTGGACCATGTGATTCTTGAACTGGTTTGATCACCTAAGGTAAGCAGAGAGGAAATTTATGGAGATTTTTTTCACTGACTTTTTCTTCCTTTGACTTCTCCAGGAGGTCACATGGGTGTGGTAAAGGGTTTAGATGCAAGGGAAAAGATGGAAAGAAGTGTTTAGCCATGATGGCCATGATGGTGTGGGAAATGCTTTGTGGATCAGCTGATGTTTTCTTACCTGTTATTTTAGTATGTTCATTATTGAAACTAATCATGTGTGCACAGAACACAATGCTTTCACGATGTTTGAATGCACAATTTTTGCAAATGGTCAAATGCAAAAAAGTTCTTTTTGAAAGCCAAACATAAAATTCAAATATACTAATGACAAAAGTAAGCAGTGAAATACTAAAATAGGCACAAGCAAAAATTTATTCTAAGTCACAAATATATACCTGATGCATTTGTTCTTGTGTCTCATAATTCAGTAATTGTTCTCTCAAAGATGAAATTAGTGAATCTTTCTGCTTAAGTATATTCATGACCACAGAGTTATCATCAAGAGACAGTTGATTCCTTGCACGTACTTCTATACAGTATTTCTGCAATCAAAATAATGAACATTTTAGCAACAAAAACAACAAACAAATATTTATTTTCATGTTCATGGAATATGGAGTTTGATGGTTTGACCTGCATTTATTTCCAATCTCTAACTGCACTGGAATTAAATGGCCTTGAGACATTTCAGAGTGCAGTTAAGAAACAACTACATTGCTGCGGGTCTGCAGGCACATGTAGCCAGACCAGTTAAAGATGATGGATTTTCTGCCCTAAAGTACACTCATCAACCAGATGGGTTTTTACAATAGTCAACAGTGGTTGCCATTAGACTAGCTTTAATTCCAGAGCATTATTGAATTCAAATTGCACCAGCTGCTATGGGGGTATTGACACCAATTTCCTCAGAAAATTAGATCTGGGTTTCTGGATTATTAGTCCAGTGACACTACTATTCCACCACTTCTGCACTGAAAAAAAACCCCTGTCAATATGAAATACCTTTGAGTTTTGTGAGTAATATTTAATGATATTAAATATTCATAGAAACAGATGTAACTCTAGGAATGGTCAACACATGTAGCAGAACTATTTTTAAATTTTATTTTCTCACAGGAACATAGGGCCAAGAATATATTATTTTGCTCATTAACCATGTTCCATTGTCTAATTAGATCACAGCTAATCTGCATATTAACTCTGCAGTTCAGATAAGGTTTAGAACATAGAACACAGAACAGTACAGCACAGTACAGGCCCTTTGGCCCATGATGTTGTGCCGAACTTTTACCCTAATCCTAAGGTCTATCTAACCTCTACCCCTATCTTATACTATCATCCATATGCCTATCTAATAGCTGCTTAAATGCCCCTAATGAGGCCGACTCCACTACCCTCTCCAGCAATGCATTCCGCACCCCTAACACTGTCTGAGTAAAGAACCTACTGCTGACGTCTCCCCTATATCTACCTCCACTCACTTTAAAACTATGCCCCCTCGTAATAGCTACCTCCACCCTAGGAAAAAGTCTCTGGCTGTCCACTCTATCTATATCTCTGATCATTTTGTACACCTCTATCAAGTCACCTCTCATCCTTCGTCGTTCTAAAGAGAAAAGCCCTAGCTCTCTCAACTTTTCCTCATAAGACCTTCCCTCTATTCCAGGCAACATGCTGGTAAATCTCCTCTGCACCTTTTCCAATGCTTCCACATCTTTCCTGTAATGAGGCGACCAGAACTGGACACAATACTCTAGATGTGGCCGAACCAGGCTTTTATATAGCAGGAGCATAACTTCACGGTTCTTGAACTCAATCCCTCTATTAATGAAAGCTAACACACCATACGCCTTCTTAACAACTCTATCCACCTGAGTGGCAGCTTTCAGGGAACTGTGGATATGAACCCCAAGATCCCTCTGCTCCTCCACACTGCCAAGAATCTTTCCGTTAACCCTGTATTCTGCTTTCAAGTTTGTCCTTCCAAAATGAATCACCTCACACTTCTCAGGGTTAAACTCCATCTGCCACTTCTCAGCCCAGCTCTGCATCCTATCAATGTCCCTTTGTAACCTAGAACAGCCCTTTGCACTATCCACAACTCGACCCATCTTCGTATCATCCGCGATCTTACTAATCCACCCTTCCACTCCTACATCCAAATCATTTACAAAAATCACAAACAGAAGAGGACCCAGAACAGATCCTTGTGGTACACCACTCGTAACTGAGCACCATGTTGAATGTTTTCCATCCACTACCACCCTTTGTCTTCTAAGGGTCAGCCAATTCTGAATCCAATCTGCCACATTTCCCCCTATCCCATGCCTCCTTACCTTCTGCATGAGCCTACCATGGGGAACCTTAGCAAACGCCTTACTTAAATCCATGTATACCACATCTACTGCTCTACCTTCATCCACGTGTTTGGTCACCTCTTCAAAGAATTCAGTAAGGTGTGTGAGGCATGATCTACCCCTCACAAATCCATGCTGACTATCACGAATCAAACTGTGCCTTTCCAAGTTTACTAGGCTAATAGCTGGAATGGACAGGTTGTCTCATGAGGAAAGGTTAAACTGGCTTGGCTTGTGTCCCCTGGAATTTAGATCGAGTCAAGGGACTGACCCTGCCATTGCTAAGGTTGTGACCAGCAACAAGGTTGAAACCAATGAAAATGTAAGTACCCTCATACTTAATACGCCTCACATCATTCATCTTACACTCTCTTCTGACATACAAGTTCAAGATGGCATAAGTAACACCTCTTACTCCCCCACCCCAGCCACTTCTAAGCACATCACAACCATACCCTTGGGCCTTTCTTCTTTCAGATATCCAAGAAGTGCAGCCTGGCCAAGCAGTAGTGGAAAAGAAGAAGATAGTGATGATGAAATCATAGCGTTACTTAACTTCACATGTGTAACCACAAGCTCAGATATTACCATTATGTGCAATTTAGAGACAAGCATAAGAAACTGCACCTGGTAAGACACTGGGTACAAGTGGCTGCAGTCTGAGTAAGAGCAACAAAATTCTCAGGTATTTGGAAGTCTGCCAGATAGCATTCAATATGAAAGAGTCAAGCTTGTGGTTCAGGGCTTGTACAGGGTTTGGAACCCATTTTTACCAGCACGGACATGGCAGTCCAGTCTGTTTGTAAACTTGTGGACCCAATTCTGAGGAAGGGTCACCGGACCCGAAATGTTAACTCTGTTTTTTCCTTCACAGATGCTGCCAGACCTGCTGAGCTTTTCCAGCAACTTTGTTTTTGTTCCTGATTTACAGCATCCGCAGTTCTTCCCGTTTTTATTCTGATGGAGCACCTGTTGGATGATGAAGTAGTTTTGATTGTAGCACATGCAGCAGCGACGCACTGTTGAACGATGGAGTGGAAGCTCAGTATGGTTTAAATACTGTTCAGTCTACTGCCATCATGGGTGTGGGTTACAGTGCTGTAAAGGGCTTACAGTGTTTGAGTGGTCCAGCAACTTGTCGTCCAGTATATAACCAGGATTCCTGAGACACCACCCTGGGAGGGGTTGGGTGGTGGTGGTTGGGGGTTGGGGGTTGTGGGGCACAGTGATTCCATGCGGCACGAACTTGCTGTCTTCTCTGAGTATGATGGTAATTATCGCCTACCCCTGTCACTTGAGCAGGCCACATACTGTTCCTTATCTGACAACCTGATTAGACTGTTGCCACCCATGCCAAGGTTCTCAATGGCAAGGCCTTCCAGAACACAGCCATTCAAGGGCATCCTCAAGGCCATTGACAGTCTTCACCTGTGCAAGGCATCAGCCTTCTACAGCAACTCTGCAACAATTTAGGTAGCACTGCAAAGGGGCCTTAGAACAAGTAATTGTTAATTGCACTGGAAAGTAAAGTGCTTAGGGAATATACAAGGGTCACCTTTATGTATGGGTAAAATGCTCTGATGGCAAGACTGTGATGGAGTTAATCTGATAAGGCTACTTGCAATTTTACAAGCCCCCAGTCTCACATCCTGCTCCTGCTTAATGTCTTCCACCTCCACATACAGGTTATCATTTGGTCTTTAATTAGCTCTACTTTCTTTAGTTGTCTTTATTTTATGTATTCCTAAAAAACCTTCGACTTTACCTTGATTTTACTTTTTATACTTCATTTATGGGATGTGGGCGTCACTGACTGGGCCAGCATTTATTGCCTCTCTTTATTTGGTCTTGTCAATGTGATGGACAGCTCCCTTCTGAAAGTGCTGCAGGTAGATCAAACAAGCCTTTAGTGGGGGAGTTACAGGATGTTGACCCTAGCAACAGTAAAAGAACAGCAAAACAGTATGGTGGCCAACTAGCAACGCCCACGCCCATGAGAAACAGAAAATTCAGGATGTTGAATAAATCAGAAGGGAACATGCAGCTGGTGGTCTTTCCATGTATCTGCTGCTTCTGTCCTTCTAGGTGGTAATGGTTATTGGTTTGCAAAGTGGCATTGAAGAAGCCTTGGTGAATTTTGTCATTGCAACATGTAGGTGGTACACACTACTGCTATTATGCATTGGTTGTGGAGGGAGTGAATGTTTGAGGATGTGATGCCAGCCAAACAGGCTGCATTGTGTCAAGCTTTTCAAGTGTTGTTGAAGTGGAGAATATTCTGTCATACTCCTGGCTTTCAGCCTTTCAGCTGGACAGGCTTTGGGGAGTCAGGAAATGAGATTCATACTGTAGGATTCCTAGTCTCTGACCTACTGTTGTAACCACAGTATTTATATGGCTAGTTCAGTTCAGTTTCTGCTCAATGGTAATCTTCAGACATTGATAGTGGGAGTTTCAGAGGTGTTAAAGTCATTAATGGTCAAGGACAAGGATTAGATTCTCTCTTGTTGTAAATGGTCTTTGCCTAACATTTATGTGCAATGCATGTTTCTTACCACTTGTCATCCCAAGTCTGGATATTGACTTGGTATTCTGCGCTGGACATGGACGATTTTTGTGTTTGAGGAGTCACATAGAGTGCTGAACATTATGCAATCATCACTGAACATTCACACTTCTGACCTTGAGAAAGAGGAAATGTCATTAATGAAGAGCTGAAGATTTTTGGGCCAAGGGCACTACCCTGAAGATCTCCTGCAGAAATGTCCTGTACCCAAAATAACTGGCCTCCAACAACTACAGCCATCTACCTTTGCGCCAGGTATGTTTCCAACCAGCAGTCATTTTTCCCCTTACTCCCATTGACTCTAGCTTTGCTAGAGCTCTTTGATGCAACACTCGGTCAAATGTTGCCTTGATGTCAAGGGCTGTCACTCTCACCTCACCTCTGGAATTTGGTTCTTTTGTCCATATTTGAACCAAAGCTGTAATGAGACTAGGAGCTGAGTGGCCCTGGAGTCCAAACTGAGCATCAGTGAGTAGGTTTTTGCAAAGCAAGTGCTATTTGATAGCATTATTGATAACGCCTTCCATCACTTTACTGATGATCAAAGGTAGACATACGGGGTGATAATTAGCCAGGTTCGATTTTTCCTGCTTTTTGTGTATAGGACATACCTAGGCAA